AGCCAGGCTAGTCTCGATCTCCTGACCTCGTGATCCGCCCGTCTCGGCCTCCCAAAGTGCTGGGATTACAGGCTTGAGCCACCGCGCCCGGCCCAATTTTTCATTTCTTAAGACTTTCATGCCCAGGCATGACAGCTCAGGTCTGTAATTCCAACACTTTGGGATACCAAGGCAGAGGATTGCTTGAAGCCAGGAGACTGAAACAAGCCTGGGCAATATGGTGAAACCCTATCTCTACAAAAAGTAAAAAAAAATAGCTAAGATGGGAACGCACGCCTGTGGTTCTAGCTACTTAGGAGGCTGAGATGGGGTGACTGCTTGAGAGCAGGAGTTTGAGGCTACAGTGAGCTATGATTGTGCCACTGCACTCCAGACTAGGCAACAGAGTGAACTCCCATCTCTTAAAAAAAACAAAACAAACAAAACGCTGGGCACGATGGCTCAAAGCTGTAATCCCAGCACTTCAGCAGGCTGAGGTGAAACAATCACTTGAGCCTAAGTGTTTGAGACCAGCCTTAGTGGAGACCCAGGCGTGGGGACACGCACCTGTAGTCCCAGCTACTCAGGAGATTGTGGTAGGGGGAATTCCTTGAGCCCGGGAGATTGAGGTTGTAGTGTGTGGTGATCACGCCACTGTACTCCAGCCTGGGTGACAAAGTGAGACCCTGTCTCAAAAATGAAAGCAGCACCTTACTTTTAGAGAACTACTGCTTACTCTGACAAGTTTGAGTGTATTAAAATCACACCTCTCACCTAGCTGTCGAACCAAACTCTAAGCCTTTACCTGAGAGTCTAGACACCTCCTATGCTCCCAAGTTCCCAGGCTTTTTCTTTATGGCACTAGCTAAGCCATGTACAGACTGCACTAAAAATATAATCACCACATTATGCTAATAAGTGAAAATGGGGCAGGCATGATGTACCTCAGATAACATACTCCCCAAATGACACTGAGATGAAGGGACCAACCCCACTCCAGATGAGTGGGCATTACCTAAGGAAGGACAAACACCAGAAGGCAACACTGCCCAGCTGCCCGAGGTCTTGGTCAGCACACAGTCTGGCCAAGGGCCCTGCACAGGACTCCGCATGCCATTCTATCTGTCCCTTCATCAGAAAGCCTGGGTTTGCCACTTGTAAGACATTGGTACAGTAGGTGAAAATGCCAAAGTTATCTTTATTGAATCAGCACTCCTCTTAATACTCTTGCTATTCTCCAAGGACCTTCTTATTCAGCTGGTATCAGACTTAAAGTGTGTGCGATGGAACTCAAACATAATAAAATTATTCCTAAAATAAACCCAGGTGAGATTGGAATTTTAAATATCCACAAACATGAACACGCTGTAACTTAGGGCATAACAGGCTAAATGTGGCCCTTGGCCTGACTCTACAGCCCTGGAGCTAGGATGGTTTTCACTTGGCTAAAGGGCTGTGAAAGAAGGGAGGGAGAGACAGCAGAACAGTGTGCCACAGAGACTTAAGGTGGAGTCAGAGCTAAAACATGTACGACCTGGCCACGTACAGACAGAGCATGCAGCCCCTGCTTTACAGCATTTAACCTGTCACTGAGATTTTAACCTGCACTCACATGGCACTTTAACTTGTAATTGTGTTTTTCCCCATCTGTGGTTACCATTTTAGGTGTTGAAGGTAAAGTCAACACTGAAAATGTACTACAGGCGTCCTGCGTGGAGACACGGGCTCGTCCCGCAGGCGTCCTGCGTGGAGACACGGGCTCGTCCCGCAGGCGTCCTGCGTGGAGACACGGGCTCGTCCCGCAGGCGTCCTGTGTAGCGACATGGGCTCTTGCACAGGATGGCCACGCCTCAGGCATGTCACAAGAAAAGCAGCAGCACATACAGGCAGGTGTCACATGTAAGGCTGCACAGGAGGCACTGCATCTGGAGTAACTGCTTCTGAGACAGAGCAATCTCTGCACACAGAAAGTCAGCTCTGACGGAGAAAGGTGGCCAGCACCCTGGAGAGCATGGGGTGGACACGGGTGCCCACTAACAGGTGGCAAATACACAGTGGCCATGCCAGACCCTCCTGCAGCCACATCTATCGCAACCCTGAACCACACTGTGCGGGGACGTCTGCGTGCTTACTCTGCTGTGCGTGCACCAACGTGTACGGACTGTGTGTGTGTTTATAAGAACTCTCACGTTCTGAGTCTTCAGGCACATAAATGTTACCTTGGACTGTTGCTACTTAAACACTAATTTAAAAATACAAAATAAAAACAAAAACTTTCCATGATCAACTAAATGTACTCTTGAGGCTTTTACAAGAAGTGGTATTAGGAAGTACAGCTTTCCTTTTTACATAATGTGACTCCGTTAACAAAATCCATCTTTCCTTCCACCTACGTAATGAATGGTGTACCTACCTTACCAGCATTAGAGTCATTAGTAGTTTTGTTTTTTAACATCCCGAGAGGGGTAAACACCTTAAACATGTCAATTACTGCACATTTAGCATGAATTCACATATCAAACTCTCTCACAGGAAAGACTACTTAAAACTAGCGCGAAAAGGGCGTGCTGACAGAAGAATGTGGAGCAGAAAGACACGTGAGGGGAAAAAAGTCAGTGTTAAAGAGAAGCCATGCGACGGAGGCTGACATGGCCAAGAGAGCACCTCGGACAAGAAGGCAGCAGGACAGCCTCCCGGCAGATGGGAAGGGGCAGTGAGAGTTAGAGGGAAGCAGGATGGCCTCCCGGCAGAGATGGCAAAAGGCACCGTGGCAGGAGGCAGAGCCTGAGTGACAGAGACGGGAAGGGGCACGGCAGGTGAGAGGGCAGCAGGATGGCCTCCAGACAGAGATGGGCAAAGGCACCATGGCTGGAGGCAGAGCCTGAGTGACAGAGATGGGAAGGGGCAGTGAGGGCAAGAGGGCAGCAGGACGGCCTCCTGACAGACGGGAAAAGGCACCAAGGGCGAGAGGACAGCAGGACAGCCTCCTGACAGACAGGAAGGGGCACGGCAGGTGAGAGGGCAGCAGGACAGCCTCCTGACAGATGGGAAAAGGCCCCGCGGCTGGAGGCAGAGCCTGAGTGGGAAATGCAGGTACACCCGGTAGACCTTCTTGGTGAACAATTTTCCTCAGAACATAATTTGAAGCTGTCTGGTTTTTGAAATAGGGTCTCACTCTGTCACTCAGGCTGGAATGCAGTAGTGCGATCATGGCTCACCACAGTCTCAACCTCCTGGGGCTCAAGTGACCCTCCTGCCTCAGCCTCCCGTGTAGTCCGGACCACACACGTGCACCACCACACCCAGCTAACTTTGAAACTTTTTTGCAGAGACGGGGTCCCACTTCATTGCCCAGGCTGGTCTCTAGCTCAGGTCTCCCAAAGTGCTGGGATCACAAGCATGAGCCACTGGGCTCATCGAAGTTGTTTAAAAAACATACACCCAGCTAGTTGGGAGCCTGAGGCAGGAAGATCACTTGAGCTTAGGAGTCTGAGGCCAAGCAGGGCAACATAGTGAGGCCCCTGTCTGAAAAAAAAAAAAAAGGAAAGAAAATGTGTTTTTTGGCTGGGCGCGGTGGCTCACGCCTGTAGTCCTAGCACTTTGGGAGGCCGAGGCGGGTGGATCACGAGGTCAGGAGATCGAGACCGTCCTGGCCGGGATGGAGAGACTCAGTCTCTACTAAAAATACAAAAAATTAGCCGGGCGTGGTGGCGGGCGCCTGTAGTCCCAGCTACTCGGGAGGCTGAGGCAGGAGAATAGTGTGAACCTGGGAGACAGAGACTGCAGTGAGCCAAGATAGTGCCTGTAGTCCCAGTTACTCGGGAGGCTGAGGCAGGAGAATAACGTGAACCTGGGAGACAGAGACTGCAGTGAGCCAAGATAGTGCCACTGCACTCCAGCCTGGGCGACAGAGCGAGACTCCGTCTCAAGAGGAAACAAAAAAAAAGAAAATGTGTTTTTCATGTTTTCACAGCAGTCTGAGTGTGTGCACATGTGAGGATACTTAAGAGAACACCACTGACCTGCTGGCCCACGTCGACCTTCGTGAAACTAAAGGTGCTGAGGTGGGTGTTTGCTCCCCGCACAGCTGGTTCTATAGTTTCTCGAAACAACTTCTCTATAAATTGGCAAATGAAAGGCCACATGTGTTTTACAGTCTGGAAAGGAAAAAGAACTCAGTGTAAACAAAATGCTATAAAGCATGACACACACGAGTGCTCGTGAGAAAGTCTCGCAATGGACCAAACCTGGTTTTGAAAATAAAGAGGGGGGAGGATCTTCTTGTTATGCAAAATCAACATGATCTAAATTCTAAAAAGTTATTAGAAAAACCAACTACTGATTACCTAATACGTTGCAGGAACTAGTTATTCTGGTTAAATATTCTGTTTAAGTATGTCAGCACATTTAAAGATTTCTAAAAGTCCTGTGGTTTCAACTTGTTGCTGAAAACAACAGTAATATTTATAGTTCTTCAACTGTATAAATATTAATAAGCACCTATATTTTTAATGACAAATGAACTTCCAGCACTTTAAAGTGATCATTATCAACATCTGAGTTCACTGTGTAGCCCTAAAGATGCACGAAATACAGAGATAAAACAGATCTAATTCAAGGTATACTGTTCTAAAAACATAACCTTTAAAAAAATGATTGCTGGATGTGTGCAGGGGCTCACACCTGTAATCCCAGCAATTTGGGAGGCTGAGGCAGGCGATCATCTGAGGTCGGGAGTTTGAGACCAGCCTGACCAATATGGAGAAACTCCATCTCTACTAAAAATACAAAATTAGCCGGGTGTGGTGGCGGGTGCCTGTAATCCCAGCTACTCGGGAGGCCAAAGCAGGAGAATCACTTGAACCCGGGAGGTGGAGGTTGCAGTGAGCTGAGATCGTGCCATTGCACTCCAGCCTGGGCAACAAGAGTGAAACTCCATCTCAAAAAAAAAAAAGAAAAAAAAAGGATTGTTATTGATTATTCAGTTTCTTGTAAGTTATTTCTTTCTTTGTAATGTTTCTTAAAACTTATGATTATTATAAAATAGATTTGAGCCCTGGCTGTTCAGAAAAGAAGACACATGGCCAGAGATATAAATATGCACATGCCTATACTTTTCTCAAGTCAAAGAGACAGTTCTCACTCTCTGGAAAGAAAAGAAATGCATTTGTTATGACTGAGGTCTTTGGGGAGCAGAAGCCAACCCACTCAAGTCCAAACGAGCTCAAATGTTACCAACATGCAAATTCCCAAATATGGAAAGATGGTATCTCATCCTCCAATTCCACTGATAGACGGTATTTGGTATACTCTAATCTTACCTTATTTAGCCATTCTGCTCTTTCAGTGTCTGGAAAATGAACCTAGGAAGAAAATACACACATATGACTTATTAACTCCCAACAACTGTAAATAAAATGTCAAGCAGGCAATTTCATATTCCCATCATATGTCCTGTGTTTACATGATGCTTCTTTAAAACACTCTGCTCTAAGCTTTGGAAACTGGTCTCCAAGGAGGGAAAGTGAAATGCATGGCACCCCAGCTCTTTACATTCTGAGAACATGATGAGCAGAAAATTTGAGTGTGGAAAATGCCGTCAGTGTCTTCCCTGCACCCCACTGTCCAGAGGAAATTCACTGGAATCTGAAACATCATAGATTATACAAAACTGACCTTTACCTTGTTTAAAAAAACATGCTTCTAATCTGTTAGTCTATTATCATCATGTCCTGGAAATCTAGGCTGAGCCTCTACCCTGCCCAGGTCAGCCATGGTGGCGCAAACCTGCAAGTCCCAGGTTCTCGGGAGGCTGAGGTGGGAGGATCCCTTGAGCCCAGGAGCTTGTCTGCAATGTGCTACAATCATGCTTGTGATTAGTGCTGCACCCTAGTCTGGACAACATAATGAGACTCCACAAAATAAAGTAACAAAATATAAACTAAAATAAAATTCACTCTTTCCTTTTGCTTTTCTTTTGGCCCAAACCAGCCAAGAGACACTCTTCCTTACTTGACTCCCCTCCGTACCATCTCCCACCTTCACCCAGATGGGGATCCCCCTTAAAATTCTGCAGGGAGGGCCTGGATACTGGAGAAGGGTTTGTACAGGAGAAAAGAAACCTATTTAGGGCCAGGTATGGTGGCTCATTCCTGTAATCCCAACATTTTAGGAGGCTGAGGCGGGTGGATTACTTAAAGCCAGGAGTTCAACACCAGCCTGGCCAACATGGGGAAACCCCGTCTCTACTAAAAATACAAAAATTAGCAGAGTGTGGCGGTACCTGCCTGTAATCCCAGCTACTTGGGAGGCTGAGGCAGGGGAATTGCTTGAACCTGGGAGGTGGAGGTTGTAGCAAGTCGAGATCGTGCCACTGCACTCCAGCCTGGATGACAGAGGGAGAGTCTGTCTCAAAAAAAAAAAAAAAAAGAAAACCTATTTAAAAAAAAAACGTGGACTGGGCGCGGTGGCTCACACTTGTAATTCCAATATAGTGGGAGGCTGATGCAGGAGGACTGCTTGAGGCCAGATGTTCAAGACAAGCCTAGGCAACATAGTGCGATTCTGTCTCTAAAAAAAATGGTGGTGCACACCTATAGTCCCAGTCCCAGCTACTTAGAAGCTGAGACGGGAGGATCACTTCAGTCCAGAAGTTCCAGGCTGCAGTGAGCCATAATTGAACTACTGCTCTCCAGCCTGAGTGACAGAGTGAGACCCTCTCTCTGGATTGAAAAAAAAGAGAAAGAAAATATTTTCTCTGCCATTGGGGCTAAAATAAAACATCCTTGGCCAGGTGCGGTGGCTCACGCCTGCAATCCCAGCACTTTGGGAGGCTAAGGCGGGCGGATCACAAGGTCAAGAGATCAACACAGTGAAACCCCGTCTCTACTAAAAATACAAAAATTAGCCAGGCATGGTGGCGTGCGCCTGCAATCCCAGCTACTCAGGAGGCTGTGGTAGGAGAACCCGGGAGGCGGAGGTTGCAGTGAGCCGAGATCGTGCCACTGCACTCCAGCCTGGGACAGAGTGAGACTCCGTCTCAAAAAAAAAAAAATTAAGAGGCCATATAGTTTTAAAAATATCGTACACATATGCATGTGTATAGAAACATGTTCTAATGTAAGTTACACATGCTAATAAATGCATAGAAAAGAGGTCTGCAAGAATATGTACGAAACTAGTAATGAGGAAACTCAGCTCTTAAATTTCCCTCTGTATTTCTATACTTTTGAAATCCTTATAAGCATGAACTAATTCTGTAATTTAGGATTAAAATTAAGAAAATGTTTCTAATACAGGAGTACTATTTTTATATAACAAATGACCAAAATTATGTGAAAGTGCAATTTTCATTAATTAAACCATATTTTAATATTAGATGAAAACGATACTTGGAAACAGGATTATCTTATACCAAGTAATCTACTCCAAATTTGATTTGTAAAGAAAAATTTTTTGGAACATCAAGTTTTAAAGATAAATATCATAAAATGACTCCTGTAAAAAATGTTCCAAAATGAAAACATTCTTCCTTCTCTAACATTAGATTTCTCTAAGTTTACTGGTACTTCTCAAATTTGGTCTGACAGTATGCTAGTAAACTCCTACTCATCCTGTCATCCTTAACGCCTGAGCAACACCTTAAAGCTAAACATACCAGTACCAGAATCACCTACAGAATTATACTTATGTAATAATAATAAAGCTTCTCTACTCAGTCATATATCACAGCAAAAATAAGGTGAGTTCTGCTTTTATTAGTCACTGGGCCGTATTTAATCTCCTGCACATGTGTTGACTGTTCTGTTGAAGAATCTATTTATCAAGCACTTCCTCCAGATCCAGCGGGAATGAGACCTGCTGCTGTCCTTGGAGGCTTGTCGCTGGAGGAGGGGCTGGTGTGGGAGGCGTGGCCGCCAGCCAGGGAGCGAGAACAGTGCCGGAACAGGAAGGAGTCCGCTGCTGCCTGGAAGGGTCCATGGAAGATTCAGAAAGAGGCCGTAGGCCAGGTGCTGTGGCTCACGCCTGTAATCCCAGCACTTTGGGAGGCCAAGGCGGACGGACAACGAGGTCAGGAGTTCGCGACCAACCTGGCCGGGATGGAGAAACTCAGTCTCTACTAAAAATACAAAAAAATTAGCCAGGCGTGGTGGTGCACACCTGTAGTCCCAGCAACCCAGAAGGCTGAGGCAGAATTGCTTGAACCCAGCAGGTGGAGGTTGCAGTGAGCTGAGATTGCGCCACTGCACTCCAGCCTGGGACTCCGTCTCAAAAAAAAAAAAAAAAAAAAAACCAAACAAAAAAGAAAGAAAGAAACTAGCTGTATATGAGCTGGGGTTGGCCAGGTGTGAAATAACAAGAAATACATATATTTGGTCTCTGCCCCTAGTACTTAACATAGAACTCCTAAAACCTCTTGTAGGTAGGAGTGCTAGGAGAATCTTTTGTTCTAATATTTGGTCTTTCATCCCTGACTCCCCACACAAAGGTACTAAATCTCTTGAATTTCTTGGGTGGTAGGAGCAGTTTTTGTTCTAATGAGGTGTCTCTTGGTGGGCTCCTGGACAGCCTCAGGATGGACAGGAGCATGGGATCAGCACCCACGCCTGCAGTGAGGCACTGATGGGCAGGAGAGTGGGAGGCGGTGGCACCCACGCCTGCAGTGAGGCAGTGACGGACAGAAGGATGGGAGGAGGTGGCAGCCATGCCTGCAGTGAGGCAATGATGGGCAGAAGCGTGAGAGGAGGCGGCACCCACGCCTGCAGTGAGGCAGTGATGGGCAGGAGCGTGGGAGGCGGCGGCACCCACGCCTGCAGTGAGGCACTGATGGGCAGGAGCGTGAGAGGAGGCGGCACCCACGCCTGCAGTGAGGCACTGATGGGCAGGAGCGTGGGAGGAGGCGGTACCCACGCCTGCAGTGAAGCAGTGATGGACAGGAGCACAGGTGGAGCCGGTACCCACGCCTGCAGTGAGGCAGTGACGGACAGGAG